CCTCTCTCTTTGTTATTATTATTATTATTATTATTATTATTATTATTATTATTATTATTATTATTAGATTAGTTTGTTTTTGTTTTCTTTCGAGAGTTGTTCTAAAGTGAATTCTTTTGTTCTCACGTATGCATGAGTCCAAATTCATACAGAGGAATAGGAGGAATAGGAGGAATATGACATAACATTGAAAGTATGGTTTTTGAAGGTACAAAGGATTTTATGACTACGTAAAATTGAAAGGAGTGGATGTTGGTCAACCGGTGGGGTTTGATGTTCTTGTTGATGGAACAGTTCTGACGGGTGCATTCTTCTAATTGACCAATCTTAGTACATGATTACACTATCTTTGATACTTTGTCAAAGATGATATAGAACCGTGTCTTTTGTTTTTTAATAGAATTGAACCCAATCAACAATGTTTTTGCTTTTTATAAAGGGTCTGGACTATCGAGCTCTACAGCTTTTGTTGTTCTTCAACAATTGCTATTTTGGTTGCTTTTGGTGTGAACTTCCCAAAGGTATTCCATCTATGTGGGAATGCAGTTTTAGTTTGTCTTAAATAATCTGAATGGAAGCAACATGGTCTATAAGTTATAACCATACTGAATGAATTGTGTGATTTATGTAACTAACCTTACCTAATGGGGTATGACTTTTGTTGTTGAAGCAACATTGGTCAATATGTATAAAGTGTGGCACTATGAAATCTTTTTGATTTAACCCCTGAGATAATGTTTTTCTTGTTATTATTATTATTATTATTATTATTATTATTATTATTATTATTATTATTATTAGATTAGTTTGTTTTTGTTTTCTTTCGAGAGTTGTTCTAAAGTGAATTCTTTTGTTCTCACGTATGCATGAGTCCAAATTCATACAGAGGAATAGGAGGAATAGGAGGAATATGACATAACATTGAAAGTATGGTTTTTGAAGGTACAAAGGATTTTATGACTACGTAAAATTGAAAGGAGTGGATGTTGGTCAACCGGTGGGGTTTGATGTTCTTGTTGATGGAACAGTTCTGACGGGTGCATTCTTCTAATTGACCAATCTTAGTACATGATTACACTATCTTTGATACTTTGTCAAAGATGTATCTTTTTAAAATCTTATGTCTCCCTAAGAGTTGTAGCTTAATCACTTAGCTTTCTTTGGTGATAGGTTGAGATCACGTGGATGAGTAGAAATCTCTATGTGTCGTTTTCTTTGATAGTTGTTGAAAAGAGAAGTTAGGCTGTATAATAATGTTTTCGGGTTAGTAGGCAATGCAAGGATAAAAATTGACTTTGTTAAAATGTTTTGAGGTGTTTTCATGTGGATTGAGAGGTTGTTTAACATCCACTCCTTTCAATTTTACGTAGTCATAAAATCCTTTGTACCTTCAAAAACCATACTTTCAATGTTATGTCATATAAAAAAAAAAAGTAACATTTTTATTATTATCACCAAAAAACTGTTTACACAAGAAGATGGTCTACATATATTTATCATTCATGGCCACATCATACCAATTTGATTTGTAGTCCACAAAAAGAAACGCATTATTAAAGCTACTCATAAGCACTTTTTTTTATTTAAGGTAAAAAAGTACACCAAGTACATTACATTAGTATGTCAGACCGTTATTTTGAACTATATCTGTGATCCTTGAAATTAATGTTTTGGAAACCTTGATTTCTTCATCATTTAATTCTCTTTCTGTCTTTTAATGTATTTCTTTTGTAATTTGTAATTTTAGCTGTCTATAGCCTGTAAATTATGTGATATTGTGATTTAACCCCTGAGATAATGTTTTTCTTCATAATAATTATTTGGATACTGATATATGCAGTTCTAATGGATCTTCACATGTTCAGCTAACAAAAATGATGCCTGAACTTTTAAAGTTCTTGTAAGCCAAAATCTTATATATCTTAATTTCTTTATCACCACTGATAGAATAATATTCCTGAAATTTCATTTATTTTTCATTTAATGATCTTTATTTTGAACTATATCTGTGATCCTTGAAATTAATGTTTTGGAAACCTTGATTTCTTCATCATTTAATTCTCTTTCTGTCTTTTAATGTATTTCTTTTGTAATTTGTAATTTTAGCTGTCTATAGCCTGTAAATTATGTGATACTCCACATGAACTTTTGCATGAAGTGACAAAGAACCACATGGGTTTTGGAAATTGTAATGCATTTATTATTTCTTTAAATTATTTACATTGCATGTACTTACGTTCAGAACTTCATATGTTGTTGACAGAAAAAAATGGCTCAACTTAAGTGTGAATGTGAAAGATAGATTGGAACACAGTCTGGGGGAATGGATCAGGTTGTACACATCTTTCTTTGTACAAATGTTTCTGTTTTAATTTTCATGCAAATTTGTTCAAATGAAATGTTTCTGCTTTATAACAGCTTTATGCACATTGGCACTGATTGACTAGCTATTTTTTGACTAATGGTTAAAGTATAGCACTTTAGGTTATTAGGTGAATGCATTTGTACTTTTTACCAATCTATTATTCAGAGAAAAGCTATGATAAGGAGATTGTACTGACTTTGCTTTCTGTTTATTATCACGTGTGTATTTTGAAACATAAACTGTATAGAATATGAAATATTTTAGAATCAACATTTTGATAGTAACAGTTTGAGTTGTATTTAGTGTTACTAAATTTTTCATTTCATTATCTTCTATGCTGTTTGCTAATAATTCCTTTTATGAGGCCTGAGTTTGAAAGTTAAGGTAGGCTCCAAGTCACAGTTGAAGCATGTTACAATACTCTGCTTCCACCCAGCTCTTGTTATAACTTTTTTTTTTCTTTTCATAAATATGATTCACCTAATGTCTCAAAGTTAACTATCAAAAATTAATCTGTACTTGTGGAATGTGACTTTTATTGGCCAAGTTATAAAATATTGTTATAACTTTATAAATTGATACAGGGATCATATGATTTTATCATAGTTTAGATAAGCCTTCAAAACCAATTCATCGTAGTTCTCCTTGAATAAATTTTTCTATAAGTACTTATAGCCAAAAAACAATAAGGTAAAATGAACCGAGTTTCTTTTATGAGTTAAAATCAACTCATGCACCTCAACTTTTAGAATAGATGAGAAAGTTTCTATTAAATTTAAGTGTTTGTGGAAAAGTTTATCGAGACAGGTCTTGCTTTTTGAACATCTGTCAATGTATCAGGACTTATATTTTCCTGTTTTTTTGACAGGTAATCTCTGTCGTGGCCAAAGCTGGGTGTGCAGAGCTGATTGATTTTAACCCAATCTGTACAACAGATGTGCAATTTTCTGCTGGTGGGACATTTGTAATAGCTCATTCTTTGGCTGAGTCTCAAAAGGCTGTCACTACCGCTACAAACTATATTAAAAGGGTTTTTGAATGCCATTTGGCATCAGACAGTGTTTTTCAACTTGAGATTGTATAATTTCATTTTTAATACTTATTTGCATCCCCTGAGCATAAATGGATTATTAGAACTATGGTGGTGCCATGGATGGAGGTTGAGGGTGGGATGTAGGAGATGTTACTAGGTAGTCTAAGACCACCAATTGTTTAGGGTCTCAAACAATCTCTACAAGATACTTATTCGTTAAGATGAACTAATATAAAAATATTATGTATTCTTATTACTTAACTTTTCATCATACTCGTAAAATTTTGATACTACTTCATTGTTTTGAAAACATGTTGAGTTTTTTTTATTGATACTATTCAACTCTCTTTAATATCTTTCTTTACTCCATGTCGTGCACCTTTCCTTTCACTAGCACTTAGTTTTCGTAACAATAATTTTAGAATTTCAAAAGAATTATATTCTTCTAAAAGTTATTTTTTTTCCTAAAACATTAAAATTAATGTTATGAAAATTGAGTATGAATGAAAGGAATGGTGCGCAAGAATCTTAAAATGACTTATTAATTTTTTTTTGTAATTTATTTAATATAACTTATACGTAATAGGTAATTTAACACTTAAAGATGAAATAACTTAGTGAATTATTTGCAATGTGTTCATAAAGTATACCGTTAATTCCAAATTTTTAAGGAATTTCGTTGATCTTAGATTTTTTTTTTATACTTTTGAAAAAAGAAAGACTTTCTAGAAATGTGATTTTAGTGTTCTAAGAAGTACTTTTTAAAATTATAAAATTATTTTTTTGAAAAGTTTTTTTTCAGAATGTTAAAATTATTTATGAAAATTTGGTGTGAGTGAAAGGAAAGGTCAATAAGAATCTTAGAATCTTATGTTTTATATAGAAAAAATTATAATTATAAAATTTTAATCCATTTTAAAATCGTGAAAAATAGAGAAAAAGAATGCATATAAAAGAAGGGTGATGCTTGGGAAAAAAAAATTAAACATTGAAGAAAAGAAAAAAGTACATATAAAAAGGTGGTGAGTGTTTGAAAAAAAAAAATAAACCATGAAAATAATGAGATTTGTAAAGTCAATTAATTAAAAAATATAAAAATATTAAAAATATTTCAAAAAATTATAATAAAAACATATTTATTAATATTGAGAGGTATATATATCATGCTCCTTTTCTATTACTTGTATAAAAGTTCCATATCAAAACTTGTTTTCAACTTTAAAATATGTTTAGTCGGTTTGTTTTTAGGAACAGTACTATTAAGTGTTTTTCTTTTGAATAAATTGAAAAACACGTTCAATTAGATTTTGACATTTATGGATTTTTTTTTTCAAAATTCATAATGCTGAAGAAAAATAATTAAGTGAGAAAAATTGTTTTTAGATTAGTTTTTCTATCGCTATTCCTTTACATTTTCTATTTATACTATTTTTTTTTACAAGCTTGTAAAAATAAGTAACAAGATAAAACAATTTTTTTCCTTAAACTATTCGTTCTAAGCTATTTCTTGATAGCAAAAATAGCGAAGAATCTTATCTTCCATTCTTGTTGTCTGAAAATCTTTCATACTAGCTAAGTCATAGTATATGAATGAGATTAATTTTTAATTAAATTCGTAATCTACAAAAACATCATGATAGATAAAATAGAAAAGGCTAAAAAACATATTTTTCATCTCTATTTTTGTCAAGCGTAATTTGGATTCTTCATTTTAAAATAAAAATATCTAATTTTTCTAATTTTAAAAATATGAAATTTTATTTCTCTTATTAAATTGACATCTATTAATCATTAAATTTTAATGTTTATTTATATGTAAATGATGTGACATTTAGTAATATATTATTTAAAGATAGAAAAATTAAAAAAAAATATGTAAATAAAGTTTATTAATAAAATAAATATTAATTAGTCCTTAAAATAAATACAAACAAAGATATTTTGTATATTATTTTTTATTTTTTATTTTTACATATCATGTCATTAAATATCATGTCACTTAAGTGGTAAAAGGTCATCAAACAACATCAAAATTTAATTATCAACAAATATTAAATTGATGGGATCGAAAATCTATATTTTTAAAAATAGAAAGATTAAATATCTCTAATTTAAAATAGAAAAATCAAAATTATGAATTAACAAAAATAGAAAAACTAAAAATATAATTTAAATAAAAAAATATTAGTACCTTGAATCTAAATGTTACCAGAGAGTTCATAATATTACTTCAGATTTGTCACATATGATAATTAAAATTGAATTTGTTATTATATATATATATATATTTATCCTAATTTGGTAGAAAAAGTTTTCTTTAACAAAGGTTGGGTTAGGTTTTCCCTACTTGTAAAAATATGGTTGCAGGATTGAGTTTGAGTTTATGGATATAAGTTCAAATTTTATTTTTATAATTAATAAAATATAATTTAATTCTTAAACTTTTATGTTTAAATTTGTTAGATTTATATTATTTTAGTTAAAGCATAATTAATAACTTAATAAATAACTTGTTTAAAATAAATTATTTTTAAAAAGTAAGGTGGAGTTTTTTTTTGCATTTTTTCTTAAACCGATAAAATCTAATAGAGTTGAATTTGAGGTTAAATTTTTTTGTTGCCTAACTTCTAAAGTGGACCCAAACTCATTTTGGGGAGAGTCAAATGGGGTTGCAACATATAAGAATTGTTTAATAATCTTTTTTTTTATTATTATAATTTTTTTATTTCTAAAGTTACAAGAACATATACTTCAACCAAATTTTGTTGTTTTTCTTTTAATAATGGTGCGCGAAAGTTTGAAGTAATTATGCCTCAATTTCTCACCGGGAGCTCTCTCTCATTAATTGCATGTTTTAGACAAATATAAACTGCTTAGCATTAATTATTTTCAAAATAACTTAATTATACAATAAAAATATACATTGAGGAAAAAGCAGTATTTTTTTTTTCCTAACAGGCTTCTAGTGGCTCTATAATTTCTTAGAGTTAATCATGCAACCAAAGAAATCCCAATAATTAGGGGAGTGAGTTTAAAGTTAAAAAACTTTAATTAAATAGTAGAAGAAAGATATTACCCAATGGCGTAATTCTTGCAAACAAACTCAATTAAAAACATAAGACACGTTAAGAAATTTTAATTTTTCAGTTACATTAATAAAATTTAATACATAAAAAATCATTAGAAAGATAATTTTACTAAGAATTATTGTTGGACGAACTTTTTCATAATAAAATAGAAAAAAAATTCTTTGTAATTATAATAATAATAATAATAATAATAATAATAATAATAATAATAAATACTACTACTACTAATAATAATAATAACAATTTGTGAGTACAGAAACTGAATATCCTCAATATTTTAATTTAACTTCTAAGTTAATAGAAACTATTTGTAAACTAAAAAAAAACTGTAATTAAATTTGTAACGCTATGAAAATAACGAGCTATTTGATAGATATACTTTATATTATGTATATATATGTATGTATATATGTGTATGTTGTTTATATGGATTTGGATTGGATTATGGAGGTGTGGATTTGAAATGTACTTATATTTGTGCATGTTGTATAATTATGTGGTTTTGATTAGTTGTTTGGACATAGTAGTGATTTTGTAGTATGTGATGAGAGGTTTATATAGGCACGTGTATCATGAATGTGGTGAATGATGCATTGTACACCATTATACTGAATTGGTACTAAGAGGGAAGAAGACTGATCACCTTCCTTCTCATCTTAGTTAAGTGAAGTATTATGACATGCAACTCATTATTCCAAGCATATGTATCTGAATGTGATGTTTGTTTGCATGTTAATACATGTTGCATTTCATATGGTGGTGAGATGTGAGTATTGAGTGGAAAGGGTTTTGGTAGGGTTTCCCTATGATTTCCATGGATTAATGGTTAATACTTGATTTTATTGCTTAAAATGTTGTTTTTGGATATTGTTTATGCTTTATAATGGTTCGAACTCATGTAATTTGGATTGGATTCATGATTAGAAGGAATTTCCGAGGTTTTCGGGGGTTTTTGGTAGTAAATGCGTTGGGTGCAGTTATTGGCGTCGGGCGTGAATTCATCAGGGACCACCATTGCCAAATCCCACCGGGTGCGAGGATAGTCGCGCCAGGCGAAATTTGAAATGGGAATCCCTGGGTGAATCACGTCAGGCATGGGGAGAACCATGCCGGGCGCACTATCAGACGTGATCCTTGTGTTTTGGTTACTGATATTGAGCCGGACGCAGGATAATTGCGCCAGGCGTAGAGACCTCTGTAGGTCTCTAGTTGAGTTTTGCGCCCTTAATATTAGTGCGCCGGGCGTGATTATGTTGGTCTTTAACTCTTTATGAAAGTTGTAGCCTTGGATGTTAGCTTTCCAATGTAGACGCATTTAATTTTTATCCTTTTATAAAAATAGTTCAATTTTTATAATTTAGTTCAGTTTTTATAGTTCAGTATAGTTCAACTTTTCAACAGTTCAGTTCAGTTATTTTTAAATGGTTCAATTCAATTTTTTTTAAATGGTTCAGTTCAATTTTTTTACAAACAATTCAATTTTTTTATAGTTCAATTCAGTTCACTACTAGTTCAACTCAGTTCAGTTTTTTTTGCCTAACTCTATTTATATGTCTTGTCCCTTGATGTAATATGGTCAAAATGTAGAGTACATAAGCCAATTATTTTGTAAGGTTAATTAATTTAGGCTATAAATCACATATTTTAGAATGTTATTTTTCTCTTGTTTTTCTTTTTTCACAACAAAACGTTTTTTCTTGTTAATGAAATCAGTTGTTCAAAGTTGGAGGAACTTGTCAACATTTGTCGCCAAAGTGGTGCACTTGGGGCTAGACTTACTGGAGCTGGATGGGGTGGTTGTGCTGTTGCTTTGGTGAAAGACAGCATTGCCCCACAATTTATTCTTCATTTGACGCTTTGCATTTTTTTTAAAAAAAAATTGCTTCTACTTAACTATCAAAATTAGAATTGGAATAAGCAAGTAGTTAAAGCGTTCTAGTGATGCAGCCATTTTCTAGTTTTAGTAATATATCAATTCCTTCATCCTTACTTTGAAGGCTGAAAACATTTTAATGTTAGGTGATGCTTGTTTCAAAGGTATATATGTAATTATATTTTCAAGATGGCCCCCGGCCCAACCATAAAGTTGGCCCATTGACTTTAGATTAATAAA